GTAAGCAGACCATGCAGCAGGATCACCAGTCTTCCGAGCTAGTTTTCTCCATCGATCTCTAGTTTTTATTATCCCTTGAATCTCTTCTGTCACGAAGGGGTTTGGACGAGTTCTTACTTTAACCTTTCTAATTGGAGCATGTTGATCCAGAATTTCATTAAACAGTAAGTCAAAAGCATTTAAACAGTCATTGACATCCTGAAAGTTGTTAATGACGGACCAGAAAGCGTTAGATATGTCTTCACAAAAAGAATCTTTGTTGTAATGTTTGAGACTTCGGACGGAGACATAAACAGGCTTTGGACGACATTTCTTCAAGGCTAGAATTGACATAACTATATCATGATCACTTATCGAATTAGGGATGACTTTCGTTTGCTTGATATTATTTTCTGAAGAGGTAAGAATTGCGTCAATTAATGTGCGAGAATGTTCAGGATTATCGACCATCTGAGTGAGGTTAAAACAAGTACAAAAATTTGAAAGAGCACATTGTCCCGGATCATTCGCATCAAGTACATTGCAGTTGAGATCGCCCAGAATGTAGATCGGTTTGTTAAAGGACAAAGCTGACGTTAATGTTTCGCTGAAATCAGTTTCAAAACAAGACAAGCTAGTGTCAGGTGGACGATAAGCTGTGCATATGAAAAATGACCTGAAGTTCATAACTTGTATCTGTAGCCATAACTGATGTAAACCAGGTTCCGAAATGTAGGTCAGATCTTTCATTGGCTCACATTTGAAGCTTTGGTTGACATAGGCAGAGACACCACCTCCTCTCTTACCATTGCGATCAAGTCGAAACAGATCATTCCCCGGGAATTCAATTTCAGTATCCGTAACAGAGGTGTCCAGCCAAGTTTCTGAGATGGTGAAAATGTCAAATTTCTGTTTTAGGACCAGATCCTGTTCCAGTAGGTAGTGCTTTTTGTTCTTTAGGGAACGGATGTTTAGATGAGCAATCTTGACATGCCATTGCCATTGTGACCGGGTGTATCACTGTATTTGTTTTAATTAACACAGTAAATCAAAATCCACAACGAGTATAGTCGAAACAGGCAAACATCTTTATCTTCGTGGTAACCATACTAAAAATCTCGCTAGTTGAGCAATATGAAAAAATAAAAAATGCACAAATTTGAGGTGGTGGAAAAACACGAGCCGTCCCTCCAGGGGAATGACATGCATGCAACCTCCCCCCTGATTGTTTACACCATACCTGTCTCGATTGATTTTTTTCCCTAACCACAATAGTTGCAAAGTGAATTCTTCACTTTTTTTTATTTAAACATATTTTTAATTTGTTTAAACAAACAAAGTTTGCCCCAAGAGCGCGTACGCTCATCTAGGGGGCTCACTTCTTACAATTGCAAACAATATTGCTTAATAACATGCTAAGTATATAATAATAATAAAAAGAAAAAGAACTGACGGAAGTCAAGAATCGTGCAAATGAAAACGTTTTGTTTCATTTATATACGACTGCATGCACAAGAGAAAATAACTCTCTGTTTGATTCTAATGATAATGAAGATGATCCATCCAAAACATTTCAACAATTTGCGCGTCGTTCATTCTTGACCAATCGTCAGCAAACATCTGAGCAGCAGAGGAGAGCAGTTTCTGTCTTTGGGCTGCAAAAATTGGACAATGAAGCTAGAAAATAATGTTTTATAGTTTCAGTATTAAAACCACACATACAAACTGGGGATACTCTACATCTTATTTTAAAGAGATAAGAATTTAATGTACAAGCACCTAAGCGCAAGCGAGTGTGATAAACAGAAGAAAATCTATCATTGGATAAATTATAAATAACATTTGGGACAGGTAAGTTAAAAATGGTAACTAAAGCGTATTTAAAGAAATCGAGAGAAACTAGCGAACGCGTTTCAATATTTATACTATTCCACATCTTGCAGCAGATGGAAAAAATTATCCTTTGTAACGTTCAGTGTGACTATTAAAAAGAGAAAAGTCTGAAACCGTTCTTAAAGAATAGTTTGTTCTTTCGTAGACTTGTAAAGGAAGTAATTCTTTAAGATAAGTTGGACTCAAGTTATTTACAATCTTATAATATAAGATAAGCTTATGGATTTTTCTTCTAGTAGACACACAGCAAAAAATCGTTTTCTTATTTCAAGAAAAAAAAAACTTGTTTCAAGAATTATTTTCTTAAAACAAGAATTTTTACTAGGGAGAATAGCGAGAAAATCAGTTAGAAAATATTTCTTAAAATATTTCTTAAAATAAGAAAAAAACATTTTCTTGTTTTAAGAAAAATATATCTCATTTCAAGAAAATAATGAAACATTTTTCTAGTGCACTTTTTCTTAAAATAAGAAATGTTTTTAGAACTAGAAAATTTTTCTTAAATGAAGAAAGCTTTTCTTAAATAATAAGAAATTAAATCTTAAATTA